TTAAGAGCTTTAGTTAATGAACATGGCATGAGAAACACAAGGGCTAAACTGAATTGGGACAGAGATAGTGAGGCACAGTTTATCTCACTCAAACAGGACCTATCCTCTGCGGCTCATTTGGCTTCACCAGATTATGCTCTCCCGTTTTATTTAGATGCCACAGTGCAGTCTCAGGTAGCTAACGGGGTGTTATATCAAAAGTGCAGAGGCCAGAGAAAAATCTTACAGTATATTAGCGTTCCATTGGATTCAATCGAGGCTAGACAGGTTGACTGTTCTAGGTATGCTGCAGGAGTGGGACATTTGATTAAGAAAACAGCACATTTAGTCATGGGGCATGCTTTAGAAATATTGACTGATCATGGCGTTTGTGCATATGTGTCCTCAGCTGCATTCACTATGTCACCTTTGAGACAGTCACGGCTCTTACAGGTGCTCACTCAGCCCCACATAACTTTTACACCTCTTGGCATTAACATGGCTGACCACATGCCAAGACAGGGTGAGCCGCATGACTGCAGTGTAAGGGTAATAGACAGTCTGAAAGTGCGACCTGACCTCCAGACTGACCCACTTCAGGACCCCGACTTACAGCTTTTCACAGATGGGTGTTGCTGGAGAGAGAGGAATGGCAGCCTGAGAGCGGCATATGCAGTTGTCAGTGTTAACGGTGAAAATTTTGTTACAGTAAACAGCGGTGTTTTAACTGACAAACCATCAGCGCAGGCGGCAGAACTAGAGGTTCTCTGCGCCGCCTTGGAGTTTGCTAAAGGTAAATCTGTAAATATTTACTCCGACTCTGCGTATGCTACTCAGGCTGTCCATTTCAACCTCTCCGAGTGGAAAAGAAAACGGCTTCTTGACTGCTAAAGGCCGACCCATCACACATAGAGCCCTGGTGGAGAGGCTGGACAGCGCTCTCCAGCTTCCAAAACAGGTAAGCGTCATCAAGTGCCAAGGGCACTCCAAGTCAGACAACTTTGAGGCCAGGGGAAACGAGGCGGCGGATGAGGCCGCAAAGAAAGCTGCCAACTACAAGGTCAGTACTCCAGGAGTGTTTGTGGTACGGGACGAGGGGCCAGACCTGGCAGACTGCCTGCCCGATCTGTCCCTTCAGGTTTTAGCTGAAGCCCAAACAAAAGCAGCTCCTGAAGAAATATCCATGTGGGTTCAAAAACGGGAAAAGAAGGATCCAGATACTGGCATCTGGTACGGCCCTGATGGCCGCCCCGCCCTGCCCATGGGGGACCTCTCACGAGCGGCTTTATCTGAGGCACATGGGCTAGCCCATGTGGGTCAGGTACAGATGCTCAGGAATATGTCACAATGGTGGCATCCCTTTAAGACAAGCATGATCCAAGATTATACTAGGTCCTGTCAAATATGTCAGAATTATAACCCATCGCCCTGCTCAGCTGTTTCCCCAGGAAAATTCACACCTGCTGCTTGGCCTGGGGCACATGTTGTGATGGACTTCACAGATATGATTAACAGGTGCGCAGGAAAGCGGTACCTGTTGGTCGTCACTGACACCTTTACGGGATGGCCTGAGGCATATCCTGCTGCAAAAGAGGATGCTGCCTCTGTAATCAAAGCCTTAATTCAGCATTACATCCCAACGCAATGGCTTTCCCCAGTTAATAAGGTCTGACAATGGGACGCATTTCAGGAACAAACACTTGCAATTGGTAGAAAAACATCTGGGGCTAAAACATAAATTTGGAACGGTCTACCATCCTCAATCCCAGGGCCGAGTTGAAAGGATGAATCAGACCTTGAAAAGTAAACTCTCTAAAATCCTGGCAACGAGTAAATTGAATTGGCTACAGGCATTGCCTATTGCCCTGTTGTCAGCAAGGCACTCTGTTAACCGCATTCACCATTTCTCCCCATACGAGCTGTTAACAGGGAGGCCTATGCCAGGACCAGGAAACAGGGTGGTGCCTTTCACAAAAGACGACTCCCCAACACCCCCAGTGCGGGTGTCTAGTTTTATTCCCCATCAGGTTTAAGGGTCGACCTCTGCGAGAAGGAGGCCTCTGGAGGATCCACCAGCCTGGTCCCGTGTGAAGGGTTCGCAAAAGGAAGTGGAACGAGCCCCGCTGGACCCGGACCCTTTGAAGTGGTGGCCCGCCCTCCCCCCCCCCCCCCCCCCCCCCCCCGCTTGGGGGGGGGGGGGTGGGGGGGGGCGGGGGGGGGGGGGGCGCAAAGCTGTTCAACTGAAGGGACACGGGACAAGTGGTTTCATCTCTCTCATACGAGACCATCTGACCCACCTCGTCTAACCACGCTCACGGGTTGGACAGTGACTCACACACACCTTACTCTCGCTCTTAATATGTTGCCTTGGGACAGGGAGCGCCTCAGGCCCCACGACCAAAAGAGGGAGAGCCATCCTCATGGGCTATCGCTGCAAGTTGGTTTGGTCGTGGTCCTGGGAATTTAACATGGGAAGTGTTCTAGAAAACACACAAGCTAACGAGACAGGGCCAGACTGGTAACACAATCCAGTCATTTGGTCCAATAAGACTGACAGAAATAAAAGATCCATAGGAGAAGGCAGCGTTAGAGACTCTCTACCAACGTTGTTGACAGTAAAAATGCCCGGTGGGTGCGACAATTACAGTGCCCACATACCATGGGCCAACAATCTTTCCATTTATCCCTTTCGACCTGACTCACAGAGACCTCTACCTGGTGTTTACAGCACCGTCAACATGTAAATATGAGAGACATGGGAAAAAGCTTTAGAGCATCGGTGGGACTGCACCTGTGATGCTTGGGAGTAATGTTATATCCAATACAGGTCCTGATTGGGGTTATAATAATGAAACACAGATTGAAGGGACGAGTGATTCTGACTACAGACCACTCACAACACAACGGTGGGCTAGCTCACTAGGTGAAAAATTGTGGTCAAATGAAAAAGAAAATAAAAAAGAAAACAAAAAAAAAAAAAAAGATTGATGTGAATGGGACTTACGTTATTGGACATTATCCAGGAGACATTAGACAATGGATTTCAATTGCCTACCCGAAGGACAAGGAGCTAGACAAGGAGGCCATAGATAGTGAAGTATGGCAAGGACTAACAAAAGCGTAAAAACCCCAAGGCGGCGGGGGGGGTTGGGACTGCGGGACTGGACGTTTCTCAGAATTGGTTAAAACTAGCAACTGGATATCGGGAGAGAAACGCTTGGTTGTGGACATATGGAGCACATGTCAGCGGCTGCTGGCCTCTTTGCGACGATTGTGTTGTGTTTCCACTGCACGTCCCACTTTGTATACAGCCCCTGCTCCACTTTACCCAGAAGATGTAGATGGTTATAATTGTATGATAAAAGTTGTTTTTGGCAAGAAAAGGACCTGACTGAGGGAGACAAAGACAGGCCCTAGCAACTGGTTCAATGTTTGAAGTATCTGTTTCCAAATTGGATTCAGAAATTCAGCCCCCAATGTTTTCCCACAGGAAAATGCAATAACACCTGTTTCCAACTCACTCAAATGAAGGGACGAGGCCGCGTCTACCAGTGGGGGTTCCTTCCAGCAGACTGGTGTGTCAACAACGTCACCCGAACTGCCCAGATCCGGTCCCCATAGACCCGACCAGAGGTGATTTGTATATGGTTGAGTGAGAGATTTAAAACTTAGACATAGACTAATAAAAAATTTTACAGGCAGTTTGTGCAATGGTGCGATTAATGATGCCCATTTCCATAATTGGGCCATAAGCCATCCCTAGACCAGTCCCCACCCACAGCATAGGATTAAAAAGGGCAATCCCATACCTAGATACTGGGAAAGATAAAATCCAACTTACATGGACGCTATAGGTGTGTCCACGTGGCAGTCCTCATGATTTCAAACTGGTAGCTCAAGGTTGCAACAGGGATTTCGAAAATCTTCCAATAATTTCCGCGCTATTTCCCTATACACGCCAACAAAAATGTAGATAGACTTGAATTTCATTTGGGGTATACATATGCTTAGGCTTGCCAATCACACCACAGGGACGCAATAGAGGGATGGCGGCTAGCACGCTGGGGGCCACCTCTCTGGGTACGCATTTACAAAACAGAGTGGCTCTAGACATGGCTCTTAGCAGAGAAGGGTGGGGTCTGCTCGTCTATTTGGAACGAGAATGTTGTGTATACCAATTCAAATCCACAATGACACCCCACCATCCCAGATGGATCATTTTCCCAGGGCTCTGGCTGGTCGCAAAATGCTGTCAGAGCAAATGCATGACGTTTCACGTGGAGTCCCGGAGAACCCACTGGATGGCGTGGCTGGACAGCACTTGGGGAAGTGGGGAAGCAGTAATTGTTGTCTGATATCACAAAGCCTGCGGGCCATCTTTGGCAATAAGAATCCAGGTGTAGGATGCTGCTGTAACCATGTATACGTTTCTCTTTCTGAGGTTTAAAGCACTAGACGACCACGGCTGTTTTCACCCTGGACTGAGAGGTCAAATGCTTGCATATGGTTGAGGAATCCCCCCGCTCCCAGTCGCGCTGGCGGAAGCGTTAATTGAAATGTGTGGACCTTTGTATAATAAGCGCGCCAAATGGGGGACCCATGTTTGTATTAAATAATAGAACTGCGAAAGGGCGATGGTGCACTATAGGAATTGGACCGTGAACTGGACTCTCAGTTCTGACTCCCAAGCAACACGCCACGACCTTGTATCTTGCCCAACCTCCCCTTGTCCCAATTTTGTCCACGAGTGCCCTGGGTGCTGTTAATGCATTGTTTAGCTGGGGGGCGATTCTGCGAATCCCTTTCAAGGTGTGCAAGAAGGAGAATTGGGGGGATGGAGTTTCCAAGGGGGGAATCTGAGTGAGAAGCCTTTGCGCTCCCTCTGCATTTTATTCATCAAAGGACACTAATAAACTTTATAGGGAATCTTAGGGAGGGGTAGGTGCGTGACTGAATTTCATGTATCCGGTTATTGGGCGAGACGGAAGGCACCAGGACCGGACCTTGGACCTCGACAACATATGCCTGCGACGAACACGGTACTGGAGCGCCCTCCATCTTCATGCACATTTACTTATAATAAACCTCATCTTGCATTGTGTAGTTCATAGTCCGGACCTAGGGACAACAGGAGTGTGCTTTGCGTAGGAGCGCCCACCCGAACTCATACTTTTTATATGATTCTCTCGAGAATAAGGGAAGAGTTCCTACTTTTGGTCCACGAACAGCTGTTTTAGATTCACTTTTTGTATTAGGGAACTCAACCTTTTAGAATGGGAACTCCTGAATCATGGTCATCGTTATAAGGGGATTTTGGGACCACGTCATGTTTCTTAATATAATCACAACCCACACACCCCCGGAACGAGGCCCACATCCGCACACACAGCGAACATACACCCCCCTCCCCACACAGAGAACCCATCCCCCCAGCGACCCAGCGAGCACACCGGAGAGTGACCACACAGAGGGAGACCCCGGAGAAGACGAGACCCGCCAGCCAGAGCGTACCACACAGAGAGTCAAAGCTAAGATGCAAGACTGGGTAAAAATTACCAAACACCTAAAACACAGTGCAATATCGATTCCTAGAAAACAATCGGTACACTAATATAACAAATAAAACATGAAAACAACAGTGGTTCTCCGTTGGAGGCTCCCTCTTCCAGTCTTCCAGGGTCAGCCCTGAGCCGACAGGACCAGTGACCCGCCCCCCACCGCGCCCTTCCACCTACGTGTGTGTCCTGGAGCGTCCTGATGGCTCCTTGATCCATGCCAGAACCACACTGCTTGCAGGTGGTAGTGGATCTTTTCTTTTCTATGGGGGGCCACCTCTTCTTCGGGTGGTTCGCTCCCTTAATTGCTCGCAGTTACCTCCTCCATCCTGGGCAGCGTATCTTCAGCCCTCCCCCTGCCCGCTGCCTTGGCTGAGCGGGAGAGGGCCTGCCTGGAGGCTGCTGCAGGTAGGAGGCCGCGGGACATACCAAAAACGGCGAGTGCACTGGGGGGAAGGTGGAGCCGGCCAGCGTGAGGGGAAATGGGAGAGAGCTTGTGGAAGTGGGAAGCGAGCATCTTGAAACAGGTGGGAGTCTTGGGGCAATGGAGGAGTTGTGAGGAGCGGGGGCCAGTGGACTGCTCCAGTCATAACCTGTGTGGTGCTCTCTCCTCCCTGCGTCTGAAGCGAGGACGCGGTACGCTGTGTGGCGCGGCAATGGCGGCAGGGGCCGTCGACTAGGTAACTCGCCCGGGCCCTGCATCAACACAAACTCTTCCCCTGCCCATAACTATCCCTGGTAGCGCACAAGGGGAGCACACAACTGGACTGCCTACACCACAAAGACCGCATCTCATCTCATCCCCATGACACACAAGCATCACCTGCTGCTTGTCTCGGTACCACTGGCCCATAGCCAGGCGGCACTTCCGCTGGCCGGACCATCCAATAGTCGAGCAGGGCCGCGCGGCATGTGCCGGGGCCAGAGGACTCGAATTCTTAGAGGCAGTATTAAATGTGGATTTATCTTTTTCTATTTTGCCTTGGATACTCTGAGGCTTAGGGAGAGGCAATGCGTTCACCACCTGAGATGAACAGGGGAGGGAACACTGGTGTCTGGTGATGGCCGTTGGGTGTTGTTATCAGTTTAGATAACGAAACCTCCCTGTTAATTATTAATGGGTAAGCCCAGAGGGACGGGCTAACCAGTTTAAACAAGAGTGACGTAGGCTCACACTGTCCATGAACGGGGGTTGTTCTGTCAGTCTGTAGGAGTGAGCGCTGGGAGTGAGCTGTACTGACGACATTGAACACCAAACTGAGCAGGCTGTCACGTTCCTGTCTTTTCTTCGTGAGTCAGGTGAAGTTTGTTTTTACCGTTGCACTGTAAAAGTTGTTATCACTGTTTTCTCTGTTTTGGGGTGTGTAAATAAAACCTACCCAGCAATTTAGTTTCCCGGCTGAAAGCACCCTCCTTATTCTCCCATCATTATTTAATCGACCCGCCTCAAGGAGGCGAAGGGTATTGGGGGTGCCGATAGTGGGAGGTACCATGGGGAAATGTCAGGACGGGTACTGTAAATGAGGAGCATGCTGAGAGGGAGGAGCTGGTCCATCTTTGGGTGCGGAAGGGGAAGAGGGGGAGGGTGGGTGGGATGAGGCCGCAGGAATGGGCGTGGGTCCTGCAAACATTTTCGCTGGCAGGGGGACAGGCTTCTCCCAGCACGCTTCTCAGGCTCTTTTCAAACGTCATACACCTTGTAGTCAATGTTGGTTGCGGGGCAGCAGGGGAGAGTGCTCACTGAAGGCCAGCGGCGCCTTGGCCTGGTGCAAAGGCAGCATGTCCCTGTCCTTCCTCTTGTCCCTCCTGAGCACAGCCTACAACGACAAACAAATTCCATGATTTGATACAGGATGAACCTGTCCCTACCATGACGGTACTGTTACACAGTTTATTACACTGAAGGATACTTCTTTACCCTGTGGTGACTGTTTGGGAAGGGTACATTTGTAGTTGGTATGTCACGTTATTCGTAGTAAACACATTGACAGTGTCACAAATCCCTTCTAAAGCATGACCATGATTACAGAAAGTTAAATTTCAAAAAGGGGCGATTTATCTTGTCCCTAATAATGACTAAAAAGAATACGACAACAGCGTTGTCTCGAGCTACGGAACATAATACAAAAGTAAACTATCCCAGAGCTGCTCTTATATACAAGTAATAAAGGTATAACTCTGAGTGGAGCGCTATCCGACAGCAAGGTGCACACACTGTCCCTGGAGTCGGGATAAAAAAACAAACTACAACACATTCAAGCATATTCATTACAGCAAAATCGTGCAGGAAAGAAGGGGGCAGTGTCGATATCCTAGGCAGGGTCTTGAGGGTCCAGGGTCCCAGGCCCTCTTCCATCATGTCCCCTCTGTCTCAGCCCGGACCTGAACAGAAATCCTATCACGCCTAACCGCCCTGCCCCTAATGCCTAGATAAAATATATACTTCCTTGAGATAAGGCCGGGAGGGCGCTCTATCTGTGGTCCCCCTCCCTTCTTCATACCAACCGGGACACGGAATTCGCAGAATCCACCCCCAGATTACCGAATCATTAACTCCACCCAGGCACTTAGGACCAAAAATGGTACCAAGTGGAAAGAAGGAGCCAGACACGGGTCCCTATTTTTTTTTGGCTTAGGAAAAATAACAGAAGTTCATTCCGGGTCCAAATCAAGCTTCACCACATACGGCTTTTTGTCTATATGTAACTACAACAGTGATTCCCACTCATCTTGGCCGCTCTCTTCACAAGGCCCGCACCTATTCACTAACCTTCAACTCGGCGGCGGTATGCGGCGAGCGGGGGACGCCTCAATCCCAATGACGAGCATTTGACCTCTCAGTCCAGGGTTAGACAGCAGTCGTCCTATAGCTTTGACACAAAGCGAAGCTGTATACACGGTATCCGAAGCATCATCCGACAGAACACAATTATATATCTGAGCAACAAGGCGATTGCCGGGCACGGGCTTGTAGATCTTACAAGACATAGAATATAACAGTGCTCCCACCTCACGGCCCACGATGCTGTCCAGCGCACGCCATCCCTCTGAGTTGAGTGGAAACAGCGTGTACTTGCTTCTCCTGTAGGGAACAACTAGGGGGCTGGAATTATATGAAATCCAATTCTGTGACCATTCACTTCCAAACATGCGACACAATAACTAGGGGTATTTCTGGTCCCCCCCACCCTTGTGTCTTCGTCAGTCAGGTCCTTGTCTCTTGGCCAAAACAAAACTTTAATCATACAATTATACCCCATGGCTACATGCTTCTGAGAGAAAAGTGGGAGCATGGGGCTTAGTATACAACGTCGGGCCGTGCCGTGGAGCCCCTCACCCACCGACTCGTCACAAGCCAGCAGCCCGGCTGACATGTGTTCACACTGTCCACATCCAAGCGTTTTCATCCCCCATTAGCCTGTTTGCGTATGTTTTTAAAAAAACCTATTCAGGAAACAGTCCAGTCCACGCATATCAGCCTGTATGTTCTAGTTTGTCTTGCCCCCTACTTAACTCCATATCGATGGCCTTCCTTAGTCTAGCTCCTATGTCCACTCGGGGGTTTAAAAAAGGGCAATTCGGAGAATCCCATTGTCTATGGTCTCCGGATCAACTGTCCCATAAGAACGTAAAGTCACCATTCACATCAAATCCATGACAATTTTTCAACCAGTGCCTACGCAAGTGCTCCGTGAGTGTTTGTGCGTGGATCTAGTAGTCAGAATCACTCGTCGCCTTAAGTCTGTGTTTCCTTAGTCTAACCCCCAGCCGGACCTGTAACTTGGATATAACCTTCCTCCCCACGCCTACTCAGGTGCAGTCGCACCGCGTGCTCTAGAAAGTCTTTTTCCGCTGCCTCTCATATCATGTAGACGAGGTGTATAAACACAGTCCAGGTCACCGGTCATAATCCCTCCCGAAATGCTCTAGAGATGGTAACATTATGTACTTTTTCCGGGATGCCTCTCATATGCTTTATTGTCATGTAGACGCACGAACAACACTAACAAAGTGTAAAGACAGCAAATGATAACTCAGGAGAAACAGGTCCAATCAGAGCTGTGTAGTCAAAACAAGTAGTGGAAAAGTACAGGTCGAAATTGATAGAATGATGAGTTTAACTTTAACAAAAGTTACTTAAAAGTGTTTTGAAATCTCACACTAGTAAAAAATATAAATTACGTTTCATTTATGTGTGTTGTTTCACATGGATGTAGCCTCATCACTAATCCTCTTCCATAGTATCTTATCTCTTGATATCTAATGGTGAAAGGAATTCAATATTAATACAAAGTCAAAGATTTCCATCTTTTTTAAATTAGATATTTTTGTGTGGGTTTTTGATCTGCTTTTAATCATTATTTGGTAGTCATTTAACAACATCTTCTCTTTTTCTCCCCAGAGCCATCCTTGCTCCTCTTTCTTTCCCTCCCATTTTGTCCACTTCCCCGTTTTCACATCTGCTTTTGATTGATACACCGTTTTTTGACCCTTGCCCGTCTACCTGACCAAGATTTTGTCTTTCATAATCATAATAGAGGATAAATTGGATGAAATGTTTCTTCTCCTCACAGAGACCATTTATCCTGAGGGAATGAATACATTTCAGACAGACAACTTGAGGAAGTACTTCCATAAATGTACTGTAAAGGGTAATAATGCATTTGCTGTTATGGTCATACATGTCTTGTTGTTCTTCTGTTGTTTTAATATGATTCAGTTGTCATAGATGGTGAGCTGTTCCATGACAAAAGAAGAGCCATTAAACCAAGACACGAGGCACATGCTACACCCACGGGAGGCCACACTGGCGTGAAAAAAACCTGCCATTTGTTCCAGGTTTTACTGGCGGGGCAGGACTGTGATGATTGACAATATGGTATGTTTTTCTTTTCTTTGTCTGTACAATTCCCTTCCCTAATGTCTGTTCTTTTTAAGATTTCTGAGTGTGACCAATGTCAACGTGAGGGAAAGCCTCTGGGTTCAGTTGCACCACTCCAAACAATAAAAGTAATTGTATTTATTGTTCCTATTAACTCACTGACTGCCAGGCATTTTCAGATTTGAGAAGTGCGTTCTGCCAGCAATTTCAGGTGATTTGACCCAACTTTGAAGTGCCACAGAATATTCATTTTTTAGACGATGTAAACACCAAGGGCACCAAATTAAAGATTAACCTCTCTGCTTTACTCTGAAAAAAACACTGTTTGTTTCTACCTCTTACCGTTCTTGAGCTATTCGCCATAGAACAAAGCATACTTTCACCCACAACACCTGGTCTGAGCAAGAAAACAGAGAAAACGAGCTGTATGTAAACAGGAACATATCAAGCAGAAAAGTGACTTTTAGATGCATTTTTGCTGCTTTAGTGACAACTCAAAACATCTTCACACTTGTTCCATTACAAAAATTATAAAAACATGACTCTGAAATAATACTATAATAATAATTTTGATGGCAAATTGTTGGCAATTTATTCACAGATAGAAAATTTTACTTTCTTCTATTCCATCAACCAAAACGTCAAACAACAACAACACAAAGATCAATAAAACTATAGATGTATAAAATAGAATGAAGCATGTGAATTTGAGTGTGTGTGTGTGAATGTCAGTGTGCGAGTGAGTGTCTGTGTGAGTGAGTGTCTGTGTGTGTGTGTCTGTGTGCGTGTGAGTGTTCGTGAGTGTGTGTATGAGTGAGTTTATCTGCTTTTTCAGTCCTCCCAGTAGTTCAGCTTTGAGTTGTAGAGGTTGAAACACTGTGTGCAACGGAACACGACACGCTGTGTACCATTTGTAGTTCTCCCTCCGTGAAGAAACTGAGCTCCAGAAAGTCTGGATCAGATGAATCCAGCTCCAGAAAGTCTGGGATCAGATGAATCCAGCTCCAGAAAGTCAGCTGGATCAGATGAATCCAGCTCCAGAAAGTCAGCTGGATCAGATGAATCCAGCTTCGCAGCCTCTGTCCGCAGCCTCTGTGGTCCAGGAGCTCCTGTGAAGGGCAACTGACTCGGCTCCCACTCATCCTCCTGTCAGCCATCTTCCCCAGAGCTTCTGGGTGACGAACGTGCTGGAAATTTGATACACACAATAACTATATTATACAGTAAATTTGTTACAATAAATCAATACATAAAATACAATGAAGGCCTTCCTCCCACATTATTGACTGACTGCTTTTGGACGAAACAAGTATACTATATTATTATTATTATATTATATTATATTGCCATGGGATGTACAAGAATAGAAATAGTAGTCCTTTTACCTTTTTTGTGCACAGCAACTGCCTCTCGATGCACCACCTGTAAATAATATAAATTTGTAAATCACTATACCAGGAGAATATATACAAAAATATGTACAATGGTATGAGGAGGCATTATCTTTACCTCCATGCCCTGTCAACCCCAATGGGGGAGGGCTCTTTTATCAGAATCTGTGAATGAACACATTTCATTTAGTCAGAGCTATGACACTACAACAAGATGTTCAAGTATGAAATAACTAAACATAAAAATAATAAATACAACAATGATAAAACACATAACTGGCATTTACTAAAGAAACAGTAGGATTTGAGCGTTGTGTTACTTAGCAGATCAAAGCAAGTTTCCGCGCCTTTCCCTCCTCTCAAGTTAGCATATTCTAGGCAATTTAGCAAGTTCTTACCTTCGACTCTTTGTGGAGCTTCTGGAGAGGATGCTCTGCTGGCTTGAGACTGCAACCACTCATCCGATAAATCATGATCAGGTTCTCTGAACGAATCCGAGGCATCAGTAACAGCAGCAGCTGATACGCTGCGAGAGGCGGAAGGTGTGTCCCTGCTCCGGGCTCTTGCTC